TGCATCCTTTTCACCATATGTTTACATGGATTATTTTTATAGGCAAGTTTTATAAATTTAATAGCAGTAGAAAATGTCAATGGATTTTTAAACTTGAGTACAACCACAGTAATATGTTTTAATTCATAATTAATTATTAAATAAGCTGAAACATACTTTAATAAAGAAAAAGTTCAATATAATGTCAAGATATTGTAATTCAATAAACAAAATTCTGTAAAGAAAAAAAAAACAGCAAGAAAAAGTAAAAGATCCCGCTCTCTCTGAAACCCTAAAATTCCCCCCTGGCTTAGAAGGAAACTCCCATCAACATTAGGAAGAGCTATAACATTTAGTGGACCCAAGAAGTTTAACTTCTTTAAGAACTGTTTTAATAAAAAAAGATTTTATCAATTTCAGCTGACAGTAACACTGTTTGAATGTTGAATGTTTCCTCTATGGAAATGGCTAATGTCATTATTAACATTAATTTTGACCTTTTCAATTACCAATCTCAGTAACTTTTAAATATTACACTTTCCAGCACTGGTTATGCACATGATGTGTTTGTTCGATGTGTCTGCATCAGAGAAAAAGGAAAGGAGAGTAATTGAAAAGGCAGGGGGGGAATTGCAAAAAGGGTAATAATGGATGCTGAATCTTTCCTGAATGGAAATAGATAATTTCACCATTAACAGTAGCCCATTTGAATGATTTGACGGAGTGAGGCGTGTATATCGTAATCTGAGGATGTGGTTGATAGTCAATTGCAGAATATTTAGTGTTCCCACATAAATCTGTTTTTACGTCTAACATAATAAATTATAAGATATTTTTATGTTTATACATTCTTTTTATAGATACAAATATTTAAGTAAATGCTCGTAAATATTCGTCCTCCAACATGGAAGATTGTAATTTAAAGACAGTAAATTTGACCTTGCTAACCGAACACTCCTCTGTGGCCCAATAGGTTAAAGGCATGTCAGGCTATATGACAGTTCCGTATAGGATACAGGTTCAATTCCTGTCGGAGGATGAATGTTTTCTATGAAAATTTCTCAAACATTTAGGATGGTAAAGGTTGTTAATACTGTTTATTATAAACAAAGCATTTACTAAAATATTTCTATCTATAAAAAGAATGTATAAACATAAAAATGTCTTAAAATAATTGTCATACTTTGTCCATTTCATAATACAATAAATTATCTAACTAGAGTAATAACAGTCAAATTTATTAAATGTAGTTTTGTCTAGCATTTGGGTTATGTTGTGGAGTAGCTGAACACCCCACAAGATGATCTGGTCTAAGACTATTTAAACAGCACTGCCTCTTTCTGAGGGGGGAGGAGTTAATGATTAACTGTTTATTACATTACTCTGTATTCTCAACTGTGTACCATATTATTCTCTGAAATAAATTATTTCTTACTTTCTATATGTGTGTCAATGTTTCCTATTTATGACACAACAGGTTGTTTTAATTTTTGCATCATAACTAGTACTAAAGTTGTTTAAATAGTTTAAGCAACCATTTAAACAACTTTTTCTTTTTTTAATAATTTCACTCCAAGCAAGGTGGGAATGCCACTAGTACGCAGTGGGTTACAGGGAGTGAAAGAGAAGACTGTGTATAGGGAGGATTGAGGAAAGGACAAAAGATGAACAGGATTCAAGAAGACAGAAGATGACATTTGATGTTGCAACTAAATTTTTAAAGATTGTAGTTATTATGGAAGCAAATAAACGGAATGGAGTTCCACAGGTGGGAAGTGTGAGAAAAACTGTTGTAGTAGAAGTGGTGGTTGCATTTAGCTATTTCAATTTGAGTACTAAATTTAAGTTCTTATACTTAGCTCTAATAAACAGTAAAGAAAGATAGTTCTATGTAAATAAACTAGTAGAATTAGTAGAATTTTATTTGATACAGCCTAAAACAATGTATTTAGTAAATGTCTTTGTTTAATATTCTTTTTACTTTTCTTTCCTTTTTTTTATTTTTTGGTTAAGCAACATTGTTATCAAGAGTGAAATTATTTAAGATTTAAATTTTTGTACAGTTGCTCATAGATGTGTTGCTTATAAAAAAAATTGTGTACACAGGGTGGCTGAAAAGTTCTCAGGCCAACCAAGAAGAATTATCAAGAACCAAGGAATGTACTTGCAATCCCCTATATTCACCTCACCATTTAATATATTGGGCACAATATTTCTCAAGTTTCTTTAATCCTTCTCACCCTGTCCAAAAAGAAAAATTTTGATATTTGCTTATACTGTTCTACTTCTATGACCTGAATCATTTAAAAAATTCCTTCCTTTCAAAATCTTTTCAAGGTTTGGAAACCAGAAATAGATAGAGTAAGATCTAATAAATGGATGAATTACATACTCAAATCTCAAAAATTTCAAAGCATTCATTGTCTTGCCAGCCCTATAGTCATTATTCTTCAATAATATTAATAATAAAAACATCTTTCTGTAAATTTTCTTTTAATACTGCCTTTAGTTAGCACTTGGTGTATTTTTTTTAATACTAATATTAACCCAATACAAGAGTCACTCAAGGTAGAGGGTTACTCTGTGGTGTAATCAGAATAAACTGTCTGACCTTTCTGAATATATTCTGTCATTAAAATACCTCATCTTCCCAAAATGTGACCATGACCTTTCCTGTTGAATTCTGGACCTTGCATTTCTTCAGTCATGGAGAACCTGGTTGCTGTCATTACCTGGAATTTTTTTTGGTCTCCAATTGATAGTAGTGTGACAAACCAATTCAGCACTACTTAAGTAGAGACTAATTGCCTCATAAAAAAATAGGCAAAATTTTTATAGAATAGCATTCATTGGAATTTCTTTGGGGTGTGACATTTGTCAGGCTCAACAAGTATTGATTTTTTTTTTATCATCTTACATGGGGTGGGGGTTCTGTTTATGACACTGATACAGTGTAAAGATTGATCCCTGACTTATTACAGAATTACCTGGATGTAATTGTTTTGAATACAAAAAAAGAACCTTTTAAATCAAAGATTTCTTTTATATAAAGAACCAATTATTATATACATTCCTAAAGAAAAAAAATTTACATAAATTAATAAATTCATATGTCTGTTTCTGTCTATATTTCTGAGATGAGGTATTATGTACATTATTTACATTATTTGGACTATTGTCCTCATCTTTTTCGCCATATTTATTACAACATTTCAGCCATTGTATGCTTCAGCCTTCTTCAGGTGATTGGAATATTGAACTGAACCCTTTATTTCACTCACTGGAGTAGACTGTTCTAGTTTCACATACCATGTTTAATGGATGTCAGTTATGTCCTGTTAATTTCCCTCTGAAAGTTCTCCACTGCCTCAGCTAGGTATTGAACTCACACTCTTTGGGTCCTGTCACTGGATCTAACTAACACCTTTATCCACTGTGCCATGTGTCCTCAAGGCACAGTAGATAAAGTAAAATAAAGGGTTCAGTTCAACATTCCAACCACCTGAAGAAGGCCAGAGCGTACAACGGCCAAAATGTTGTAATAAATATGTCGACAAAGATGAGGACAATAGTCTGAATAATGTAAATAATATATATCTGTTTGTTCTTTATAAATAATTATCTCCCAATGTTTGTTGGGAGTATTTTTCAGAAACACCTGCATAAAATTTTTAAAAGTTTAAAAAAATTTTTTAAAATATATATAAAAAATATATATGCATATATTAATGATGATAGCACAGTTTACAATTTCACCTTTGTAAATAAACTTGACATTTGTAAATAGCAACTATGTTCAATAACTCTGTAAAATAAAAAAATTAGGGTTTGATTTTACACTGGATTGTTATGAACAGGACCTCCATTTTGAAAATGATAAAATCAATTTTTTTTAATTCTGAAAAATGTTGTGGTTTAATGAATACTAATCTACAAAAAGTATCCAAATTCATAAATAAGTTCAAGGATCCTGCAAATTAAAAAGTACTTTTTATAGTACAATAATAAGACTCAGATATTGAGAAGTAGGTTTGGTTTCAGCACTTCCTCTGACATTTTAACTTCTAAAATAAACTGAAAAGAACTTTGTGTTCAAGATATCTCTATCTATAAAAGGCAGGGTGTGTGTGTGTGTGTGTGTGTGTAACAAACGCACGGCCACAATTTTCGACGGATTTGCACCAAAATTTACATGCACATGCTCCAAGTTAGCGGGAAGGCCAAGACCAACTTTGCATTTCCCAACTCCGATCGATAGTGGAAATAATCAATATTTTCATGCTTCTACGGCAGTTTTCATGTAGTTTGCGGCTATTTTCTACTGACCAGAGTGAGAGCCTATAGCTGGCTGCCACAAATAGGCAGGATGATTCTATTGGCCAACGTGAGAGCCAACAGCTGACTGACGCGAATGTTAACTAGCATGCAAAAAAATATCGATAGCTGCATTTGTCATAAGTGGGAAAAATTTTAATCTACATAGCACTTTACTCCAATTGGCTCATTTGCTTGCTTAAACTCAACATTGATTTTGATTGCGCAGAACTGGGTTGGGTGTGAAAAAGTATTTGTTAACATTCTTTTTTCATTCAGTTTTTCCAGTTACGAGTCCTTTTTTTTTATAGCTGATTGTTTTGTGTTCATTTTGTTTAGTTCTTTTTTTGTAACAGATTTAATGTTTAGTATAGAGCTTAGAAAAAATTTGCAGTGTGAGATAGGCAAGAAGTAAGGCATGTAGCAACATCAGCATAGCAAAGGGCACTCCTTTAAAGGCAAGGAAGGGCAAAAATATTTTAAGTCAAGTGATAGCGACTGCTGTATGAGTTGTATGATTTTTGAATCAAGCACGGGCAACGCCAAGCCATGCTGCTAGTCTTGTAATAAAAAGTTCACACTTGAACATTTCAATGACTTCCTCTTTAAAGCATTTGAAATTTAATGATAAAAATCAGTGTACGTATAAATAAACTAAAAACTTTCTTTTTTTTTTTTTAAATTGAAATCTTTATTTCTACTTTCAGAATACCCTGAACTAGAGAATAATCCAAAATGGACGGAAAATAGTCCAGAATATTGTAGTTGTTGTACAGCCATGAGTCCTAATACAAATATTTTAGATAGTAAGTACTATGAAGATTTTTTTTTAAATCTTTTGAAAATGTTTTAATTATTCTAATACAATCTTATCAATTTTACTTCATTATTTTTTTTTTTTTTTTTTTTAAGAGACCATGGACAAAATTTTAAACCTGGTCATATACTGCTTGATTATAATAAAGGAATTACTTCTTTAACAAGTACTATTTGAGAAATTAAACCAAAATTTTAAACCTGATGATTTAATTTATTATAATAAATCCTTCCTTAACAGATTAGGTACAAAATGAACCTGGTCTTATGGAGTAAATTTTGTTTTTTGTCATTCAAAATTACTTCAATTTAATCTATATTCTGCTAGCATCAGTTTAAATCAACATCTTCCTTTATCAATTTGATGATTTTGTATAAAGTTCATATTTTCTTGCTTCCAGATGTAAATTTGGAAATTTTCCAACATATTTCAGTGAAATTTGATTTTCAAAATTATACCAATGACAAAGTTTTAGAGAAAATAGAAACAAAAAGGACATTTATACTTACTCAGAAAAAGATAATTGAAATTTCTAGGTTATATGATGAGGAAAGAAGACTTGGAAAACTTAACACTCATATATGTTGAAGGCAAGAGGGACAGAGGGAAGTAGTGAATAACCTCTCTAACAAGTGTAAATGGTTGGAAGAATGGGGATTAGGAGAAATAGCAAAAAGACAAGAGTAACAAAGCACAGGAAGTTGTGGAGAACCATGATCGCCTACACACTGAAGTTGAATTTATAATTATAGTTTACATATATGAAAAAAAAACAAGGTGTCAGTTTTAACTAAAATTAAGAGGTTATGGGTTAAACATTAAAAAACAGCATTTTTGACAAAATTTCTCTTAAATTGATCATCCGTGTATAATCTTAAATTTTAAGAAAGATCTACATTTCTTACTGATTCGCCATTTGACTTAAAATTTCTTTTTATACATATAGAATAAGAGATAATTATATATAAATTTTTGTACATCAAAAACAATATTGGAAAAAAAAATGTATGACAAAGTGGAAAAAGTTTTTGTGTGATGTGTTTCATCCTTTAGGACTTCATTAGAATAAATTTATGTTCGTGCGAGTAGATGTTCACAAAATTCCCAGCATCCTTCATTCATTCAATGTGTACTCACACCAGCATAACAAATTTAGTCCTAAAGGATGAAACACAAAAAAATTTTTCTATTTTGTCATACATTTTTTCCCCAGTATAAAGTAAGAGAAAATTCTTTGCCTTAACCACACTTGGCTTATTCTTTGAAAATAGGAATTACAATAGCCTGTATCTAATTTATATTATTATGGCTTTTCTTTTAAAGATGTTGGTGTAGATATAAAACAAATCTTTAAAGATTTGCTCTAAATTTCATTTACATTATCATTTTAACAGTTTTTTTAATCTGAAAATTCCTCCCTTTTGAAAGAACTATTATGAGACAATTGTAGAATAATTATTCATAAATAGAACTTTCTTTTCTTTCCTAGATGATAGATGTAGCTTTTGGGTGATTCCCTCCATCCAGCAGGCCTGGACAATTTTAGATCTTCAACATGAACATACCATCACAGGAATTAAAGTTTATGGATGGTAAGTAATACATAATATCTTATAATTCATTTTATATTTCTTCTTTTCATATATATATATATATATATATATATGAAAAGACTTACAAAAAATTTAGATAGAACTCAAATCCACAAAACATGATAAAAACCAACACATGATAGTCCAAAAAAAAAATAAACTGATAATTTTTTATTTTGTTTTTTTAATGGCTATTGTTAGCTGAAAGTACTTAGACATGGTAAGTTTTATTTACCAATACCAATGGGAAAATCAAAAAGTATTGAAAAAGTAAATAAAACAATAATCAACAATGAGCCTTCATTGGTTTTTAATCAAATGTGCATTAAAAATAAAAATTGGCCCACAGATGCACCATATATGTATGTATGGTTGCATGGCTGAGTAGTTAGAACATTCTCTTTCTGACCTAGAAACCTGTGATTGAATCTCACCACGGTTGATTTTGTCACGAAGGAGACTTCTTGATGTCATCAGTCTAGAGGGGGACGATCCCAGCATGCAGCACCTTTGGAAAGTACCTGAAAACCATACTACAGGTTGACCCAAGCCTTGTAAGGAAAATTGGGTAGACAGAACCCTTGAGGGATGTCAATGGCTGTAACTAAGGTCTGCTCAGCTAAGTTGCAGTATAAACCACAGGTGGGCCCTGTGGGTGTTGAACAAACACAAATGTGCCTGAGCAAGCATTTGAATTAGGGATTGGCTAGCCACCCTAGTAGACAGGTGTCCCCAAATATGAGTGACCAGCTGTTATTATGTATATATAGGTACCTCCAAAGATTTGCTAAAAAATGAGCATACATGATGAAAAACATGCCCCAAACTTAATAAAAACAAAGTTTTATTGTCAAAATCTTTGTTATTATTAAGAGGAAAAAGCAAAGGATTGTTTGATTATTAAATCCTTTTTAAAAACCCTTGAAATTTTAGTTAAAATTTTTTTTTCTTATTTCAGCAGGTGACCATAAATTAGTATGGAACATTTGAGTATTATTTTGTTGGGGAAAAACTCATTGATTTGGAAATTCTTTCAAAAATTGTTGGATTTTAATGAAACTTTCAGGACTTATTAACAAATAAATTAATTTATCTTGGTAAAAAATTTCTTTTTGCATTTATTACTTGTCACATATTTAATTTCATAAAATTTCAAGAAATTCATTTTTATAGGGATTAATGTTTATATTAGTTATAAGCACAAGTCCTTGGAGAATTTAAATCATTTTTTTTTTTTTGTAAAATCATAACCCTCCACCCAGTTACTGAAAATCTGCTCTAAATCATCAAATAAAAAGATATTTAAATAGAAAAACTTTAATTGCTTTTATAAATAAGATATATTTTAGACACTATTGTCTTAAAAAAAAATTTCTACAAATATTCAATTTTTAAGTTTTAATTATAATAATTTATAAAGTTTTAAATCTTTTAAAATAGAGTATCAATTTTTGGCAGTTAGGTGATATGTGCCACTATCCATTATTCCACCATGCCTCCTCTTAGGTGATATTGCTACTAAATAAAAACTATATTTACTAATCATAAATGGAAAAAATAAAAAATGCTTTTCTGTGATATTTTAAACTAAAAGTAATATTTGTTTCAAATAAGATTAATTAAACTTTAATTCAATTTCCTCAAATAAAGTTTCAGAAAAGTATATTTTATTTTTGAAAGATTTTTTAATAAAGAGAATTGGGTTTAGAGATTTCTAATCAGCCAGTTTTTACAATTTAAAAAATTATATAATTCCAATCAAATATAAATTCATTTTGAAATACAGCAAAATATATATGCCTCCTTCTGAGCTAAATTAGATCTGGTATTGTAAGTTTCCTTAGTTTATAATAGATTCAAATATAAGCAAATTGTCTGTTTTGCATTACATATAGTTCTCTTAATTAGGTGAACATCGATTTTTTTTTTTTTTTTTTTTACAATCATGCTTGTACATCAGACAATACAGTATTTTCTATTCATTTACTATCTGCCTGTCTTTTAATGATAACTAGGTAAATATATTCAAATTGCACTTTTAGTTACATGAGTGTTTTTGGTCAATAAATTTCCAATTTAAATCAGATGACTGTGTCTCTGTATTTACTCAACCCAGCCAATCTAATTTCAAAAAGAAACATTGATTTCCTATTTTTTAGCATAAGAATTGTTCTTTTTATAATCATTTTTTTAAAACTATTTACAATATTTACATTATTTGGACTATTGTCCTCATTTTTATTGTCATTTTTCACAATGTTTTGGCCATTGTACACTCCAGCCTTCTTCGGGTGATATACATTGGAATTTCTAATGGAACCATTTATTTCATCTAGTGGGGGTTCTAGTTCCACGTGTCATGCCTTTTCTGGATATTTCAGTTTTAGTTATCTCCCTTTAGTAACTCAACTCGCCAAGTTTTTGTTCCCTCTACTGTGGCTCGGTATTGAACTCACAACTCATTGGGTCAATAGGCCGAACAATGTAAATAGTTACAATACCTCATCTCAGAAATAGACATCTTTTGAAGGTGAATATGGCAATAAAGATGAGGGCTACAGTCCAAACAATGTAAATAGTGTAAATAGTTACAATACCTCATTTCAGAAATATAGTCAGAAATCATTTTTTAAATATTTTTTTGTATTGAGATGTTTTTATAATTATTTTATATTAGCAGATTGTTTTATGTTTTCCTTTTGAGTTAAACATTCTCCAAAATAAAAGTGTGCCAAACATTACAAATGATACTTCTAAAATGTTTTTTGCACTGTGTAACCTTCATGAAATATTCTAATTCAAGACTTTCATTTCTGATATGCAGGAACAGTCCAAATATGGTAAAAAATTTTGAACTCAGGAAAGGATATACCATTGAGTAAGTTAAATAATTTCATTATTTTTTGTTAAATCTTACTTGCCTTCTATGCACATAATTGTAAAATATAGTCTAATTATATATAATTGTAAAATATAGTCTAATTATAGTTAATAATTGGATATACATGGCACTAGTAGTACCTTTGATGTCTGGCACACTGTACCTTCCGGTGGATGGGCATCACTGGTTCTTAACCATCTCCTAAATCTCTCTTGAGATGGTTCCAAGTTGCCGTGCCCCAGTAAACCACTTCAGCTGGCAAGCTAAACTCACACAAGGGGTGATGTTAACATGCCACCACTGGGAGAAGGACCTCTTTGATGCAAGTCGCCAGTCAGGGCGGAAGGGTTCCGCAGATGAACAATGGCCATGTATTCGTAACCAAGGTGAGCCACCTAGTTGGAGGACATCGGCTGTGGTCTAACCTAGAGAGGGATGGGCTCCGTCAGGTTAAAATGCCCAAGTGATGTCACATCTAATGACTCCTTCTGAAAGCCAAGCGAAGTCTAATTATTTTTCTATAGTCTTTTTTTTCTTTTCTTCAATTTTTCATTTTCAAAATATAAAATATAGTCATTGTATAAGATTCTTTATAAAACTAAAAACATTAAAGTTATTCCATTCTCTTTTATGAAATTTTATGTGTAGGCTAATTCTGACATTTATTAAATTCTGGATAATTAATATATTTTTCTTTGAAATATACAGTTTCTGAAAAAAAAAATGGCTTAAAATTAACCTATGTTGGTTATCTCCACTTGGCTTCATGAAGATGCCATTAGGTGTCACTATTAAACAGCTATAAAAATGGGACACTGGAGTGACAATGGAAGTGAATGGAGGCATTACTGAAGATGCTTCTTAGTTGCATTTGGCAGGAGATGCTAAGAATATTAATTTAGTGATGGTTTGTGACAAGCACAATTTTCTTGCAAAAGTCAAAAAGACTATTAGATACCGTCATAGATTTGACCATAAATGATCACAACCAAGTCAACTGTTTCTTCTCCAAGAGTGCTCTTAACCGATTTTCCATGGTGGACAGTACATTCACTTTGAAAAAATTAGAACAGGCTGTTCAAGCTTGCATATGATAACCATGGAATGATGGTAGAGGGCTTCCTCTATATCTGTTGGTCTCCGTCTACAGTGAGGAAATGATGGAAACAAATGGTCGGAACCACTTGTGACATTAGAAGTGAAATTCTTAGATTGTCTCAAGACAAACTGCAGAACATTCACAAAATTGTATAGAGTTGTTTCATTACTCACAGATTTTAAAAGTCTGTCAGCCTTCTTCTTTACCTAAGACATAGTACTAATAGTTTGTTTTGTTTATCATTTCACTCCAAGCAAGGCAGGAGTGACACTAGTATGCAGGGGGTTACAGAGAATGAAGGTGTGAGAAAAGACTGGGTATGGTGGAGACCAGAGAAAGCATAAAAGCTGAATGGGTTTCAAGATAGAAGATGACAATTGACACTGGATTTAAATCTTTGAAGATTGTAGTTATCAGGAAAACAAGAAAATGGAAGGAAGTTCCAAAGGCAGGAAGTGTGAGAAAAGAAACTGTTGGAGTAGAAGTGGTGGTTACATTTAACTAATTCAGCAGTAAAAGGTGGGATCTAGGTGCCAGTCTAGTAGCACACTTAAACTCATGTAGTCTGGGCACCAATGAACAAGTTGCAATAATGGTTTTTTGTTGTGAGAAGATGTCATCTAACTTTTCCATCACCTAAATCTGTCTGGAGGATGCTATCTGGATAAAAGCAAATAAGGGTATAAAATCATACCACTCAATACACTATTCTGAAAATATGACGACAAAAATAATCCTGGAGATTGGCAAATAAAAAAAGAAGGAAACCTCATATATTATGAATGTCAAGTGTGTGAAACTGTCACTCCATATTGATTTTGGGTGCAAATATCCACCTCTGTACATTTGTTAGAGGAATTGACATCAGAAATAAGTTTGTCTATATTTCTGTGATGAGGTATTATGTACACTACTTACATTATTCGGACTATTGTCCTCATCTTTTTTGCCATATTTATTACAACATTTCAGCCATTGTACGCTCCGGCCTTCTTCAGGTGGTTGGAATGTCGAACTGAACCCTTTATTTCACTCACTGGGGTAGACTGTTCTAGTTCCACGTGCCATGTTTAATGGATGTCAGTTATCTCCTGTTAATTCCCCTCTCCAAGTTCTCTACTGCCTTAACTGGGTATTGAACTCGCACTCTTTGGGTCCTGTCACTGGATCTAACCAATGCCTTTATCCACTGTACCATGTTTTATTTCTAAATATAACCATAATGTTGTTTATGGAATTGTTTGTCCATATGTCAGAATGATTTGCATTGCCCCTTTTAGGGATGGTTCCTATAAAACCCAGAATCCAAGTTGGCATTTGTCTTTGACTAGTTTTTCATTTGAATGTTTGTTTCATTGGTGATAATATGGATGTAGAAGCAGTATGGTGATTCAATGTGTGATATCATCACAGAATATACTCCATTCAAATTTGATTTGGAATTGAGATATTCCAAATCTGAAGACAAGCTGGTTTTGGTAGAATTTTTGTGAACACTGTGTTGAGGAAGTGGATCTGATGGGTTATACACTGAGCCACATAAATCATTACTGCAATCCTTAGCAGAAGAGGTGATCACATTTTCTGCATCAGTAGCAATTATAGACAACTTATTAAATGGGACACTCCTGTTTTCTTTCTCTTTACTCTTTTTTTTCTTTTTAGCATGCAGTAGAAATAATACCAGCTTGGGACTTGTTTCCAGACATGGGCATATCTTTCCCAGGGTGACTGAACTTTTTCACAGACACATATATATGCATGATGTATCACCCACATAATTCCTAAATTTTATTCTTTTCTTTCTTTACAGCTCTATTTACATGCATACTAGTATATTTTCTCTCCTTTGTTGATCAGTTAATTGTTATATAAAAATGGAAAACATTGCTTGGTTGAAATTTATTCCATTTTCTTTCACTTCTTCTGACAATGATGACCCATCATTTACATATGGAAATTTTGTTTTCCATTGTTTTTAATCCAACTGGGAACAGAACTGCAGTAGTTACATATTTTTATAGTTTTGGTCAAAACATGAAATCCTTAGTCAAGTGACCAAAATACAAGATTTTACTGGATTTTTTTTCATTACCAATAGAATTTTCCAGATGACGAGAATATATGTACAGAAGGAACTTACTAAGTTAATAGATTCAAAGTCAAAATAGTTAATTCTTAGTTAGTAGTAAACTATACTTACTAAGTATGTCCAAAAATATTTGCTGCCCTATATAACATTATGTGCATGTGTGTTAAAACTAGAGAAGAATAACTTATTAGGTTAAAGGTTAGGAAAACAAAAAAACTAAACAGCCACATACATTGTTGGAAATACATTATAATTCAGAAATACATTATATATCATTAGGTCAATTGATGGTCATAAGTTCTGCAAAAAGAAAAATAGAAATAAATGTAATGTGTTTGTGTGAATTTTCATTGGCCCATGACTTAATGAATCAACAATTAGTGAGAAGGTGAGATTTCCTGGTTAAAAAAAAAAAAAAATTGGAGAGTTTCTCCATTTATCTCTATAAAATGTTTGAGAATTTTTGCTTAGTAGTAAACATGCAGATCTGAAACTGACAGGATTGAGAAGTCTCTCTCACTCACTTCTCCTTCAAGCTGTTGGCAAAATTTCCCTACTGGGGACAATAAAAGTAGTCAGTACAGACCATATGCAATGTGGTATTTAACATGATGAAAAAACACTTTTCTCCTGTAAGAGGCAGACAGCCCAGCTTAGGCAGAATATTTTTCCACAGTAGGTTGCCATTTTTTTTTTATGGTAGACTGATTGCCAGCTAAAGTTATAGGACCCAGTCTATTCTGTTAATTAACCCATAGATAGTGGGGAAAGAGATGGATTCATATCTTTCCCAGGGGTACTTGCATGTAAGTGACTGTAACAAACCCGACTGGAATTCAAACACAGCTTTATCTGATTTCTCTCCCTGAGCCAATATCCATTACACTGCAATGCACATTATTATGACTACTACTATAATAATCATGGTAATTTGACTAAAATTATAAATTTATTCAAAATACTTTATAGTAATCTAAACTGTTTTTTCTCTTGACAGTGAAATTACCTTCCTAAAACATTAAATTCTTTTTTATACCCCACCTTTTTTTTTTTCAAAAATAGGGGTCCTTGGTCAACTGTGGTACATTTTGCATGTAAAGCTGAAGGCAGTACAGATCCCAAGGACCCAGGTAAGTAATAGAATTTCTTAGTATATTAAAAACTTCATTGGCATTTGTCTTATTAATGTTAAATTGTTTCCATCATAGAAGAGAGTATAGAATATGTGAAACATTTAAAAGATCTGTCTATATTTCTGATATGAAATTTTGTAACTATTTACATTATTCGAAGTGTTGTTCTCATCTTTATTGTCATTTATCCACAACATTATGGCTGTTGTACTCTTCAGCCTTCTTCAGGTGATATATGTTGAAATTTCAAACCAAACCCTTTATTTGGTCCCACAGGGTAGATTTTTCTAGTTCCACATGCCATGCCTTTTCTGGGTGTCTCAGTTTCAGTTAATTCCCTTTAGTAACTCAACTCTCCAAGTTTTTATTCTTTCTACTGTGGCCAGGTATTGAACTCACAACTCTTTCGGTCAAGTCACTTTTGGATTACTTCAACCAATGCTTTTATCCATTGGACCATGTGCCCTTGAATTTTGTCAAGAATCTCTAGATATATAAAAACTCAGACCAGATGTGACAGCAATATTTTTTCATACATTTCACCCCAAGCAAGGCGGGAGTGCCACTATCACACAAGGGGTTACAGAGGGTGAGAGCAAGAGTAAAGAGGAGTGTTAGTGCAGTTGTTGTTGTAGAAGAGGTGGTTACATTTGACTGTTTCAGCAGTGAAAGGGTGGGACAGAGATGCCAACCTAATAGCATGCTTAAATTCATGCAGTGGGGTTACCAATAATGTTGATCCTGTACAAGACCCGAGAGCTACTCAAGATAGAGTTACAGAGTAAGAGGTACAGTTATATTGGGATATGTGGGGAAAATAACTTGAGAGTTCACCAGGTTTAGTAGTGATTGGGGAAGCATCCCCTCGGGAGTTGGTTCCACAAAGTAGTGGTTCATAGGAAGAAATTGCTTGAGTGGAACATACATCTCACCAATGGGATACAAAGGGAAAGCGGGTGATTTGCTACAATGGGCGTGGCATGGTGGGTCTTAAAAGGCTAGAATTGGTGAAACGAAGGAATGTAATTCTTCTGAACACTTTCCACAGAAATAGTGATAGAGCAGCAAGATACTTGCAACGTTTTGTCTCCAAAAGGGGTTGCAGGGCAGAAAATAATTCATCACTCACAAGCCTGCAGAGACTGGAAAGTAAAATTGGGTGAGACCCTGTCCTTATATGGCAGCAGTACTCCATTTTTTAAAGGTAGATGATAGCAGGAGGAGACAGCTACTTACTAAAGCAGTACGGGGAACTGACCATTTTTCCAACATCTTTAGTGATGATTCGTGTATGGGTTTCACTTGAGGTATAGGTTGAGCTTAAGTCCCAATAGGCACTCAAGATATGGAGCCTCCCTCAGAGAACAGCTGTTCATAAGTGTAACTTCAGAGTCCACCCAGTGATGGTCATTTTAATTTCTGTGATGAGTTATCTTTATTTTACATTCAGACTAATGTCCTCATCTTTGTTATTATATTTTGACTGCTGTGACTTCAGGTTTCTGCTGATCCAGGTCATCTTCAGGGAATTTTGAACTTAACTGTTGAACTATTTATTTAAATATTTAGTTAGTATTTATTTTATTTAATTACTATTTACTTAATTATTTACTATTTGTTTAAATATTTACTTCCTATTTATTTATGTATTTACTTACAAATTATTACTATTTATTTTTATTACTTACAAATTATTATTATTACTATTTATCATTTATTTTATATTACTTATTCTATATTTTATTTATTTGTTTTTGCTTACTATATCTATATTCTCAATACATAAAAATCAACCTGGTATGACAATAAAATACGTCTGACAGAGGCCTTGAGGAGCGTGGAACCACCTCTTAATTGTTGCTGTTCCCAAGTACACCTTGACCAAGGGTGGTAGCACCTGTTAGGGTCCCAGCTATGGACAAATAGTAAACCTCTAAACTGGAGTCAAAATATGAAAACATAAAAATACATTAGAAAAAATTACCAGCAATGTAGTTTTATAGTAAAAAAAAAAATATTAAAAATTACTAGGAATACATTATTGGAAAAACAAATTATCAGCAATATATTTTCATAGTTTAAAAAAAAAAAATTTTTAAATTACCAGCAATACATATTTGGAAAAAAAAAAAAAAAAATTAGCAAAGCTCACAAGAAAATAACATTTCGGCATTGATCGAACTATAAGGGACTGATATGCCATTGAAGCATATTGAGAAAATTCTTCGAAAACAATTATTTGAAAAACATTTATTCGAATTGTAAATTGTTTGAATGCAAATTAATGAAAAGGACAATTATACTAAATGATAATTATTTAAAATACCTGTGTTTGAAATACGTATGTGGTTTTGCTTTCATTTAACTAGAACTAATAACACCCTTGAAGGATGGCATAGAGCTGTTTTGCAGCAAGTGTCATCCCATCATCCCACAAAATGGAAATTCTTAGATGCTCTTAAGAGAACAGGACTTGCAAGAAATTCATATTACAAAAGTAAGAGCAGGTTGCCAAAATATCTGATGTAAATGGAAAACTTAAAAAATTAGTGGCTTCCTTTATTGAGTATTTCTCAGTAGTTGACTATTTGTATACAGTATAATATAACTTAAGGTTATAAGGATTTTTTCTTACTAAATCATTTTATTAACAATATTTGTATTTCAAATAATCATCATTTGTGTATTTCCTCTTTTAATTTTTGTTGCGATAAAGGATCTTGCATTTTGAATAATTATCATTTAGTATAATTGTCCATCAATTAATTTTTATTCAAACAGTTTACAATTCATATAAATGTTTTTCAAATAATTGTTTTCGAACAATGTTCACATAATCCCGTTAAACAACCAATCCAATTCAATACATAATAAAAAATATGGTATTTAGTTCTATATTCACGTTGGTTTGAATGTGTCCAAAAATTACATTAACATTTTCTCTCTTTTGTTCAGGTAGACCACAAATCTTTGATGGCTTCTCTGACACATCTCGTTTCTGGCAACTCCTGATTATCGATAACCATGGAGGAAGCTGCATCTGCTTTCAGGGCATCAATTTGTATGGTGCTGAGAAACGGATTTTCACAGAGCTTGAGCAAATGTGTTTTTCAGAGGAGTTTGCCAACAAGGTTGTACAAAGAGGATTCAACACATATGTCAAGTTTTTGGAAATGAAAGAGTCAGATCTGAAGTCATTGGTAGGTTTCATTTCATATATCTTTGTTCAGTAGGTATATATTAATATGTAATATCTGTTCACTCTAAATATTAGTGCATGTAAATGAATTTTTTCCCTTGATAAAAGGGTTGAACATTTTGGATTTTCCAGACTATTCTTTTTTGAGCTATATCTTCTTTCAAATTCAATTTCTTGAGGTTGTCTTGACAACCTTCAGATATATAAAAGTGGTCATTGAGATCAGCACCCAACAGCGACAATCTTAAACACAATTGTCTTGGCCTGACAGTTGTGTTTAAACATGAAACAGACTATCGCTATTAGGGGTTGACCTCAATGACCACTTTTATATTTACATACACTTTATCCAATCCACTGAATGATGCGATCCTTATGTATAAAATTGTTGTCAGATGGATCTAGTGTATTTTTTTTTATAGAAGCAAGTACTTTCGAGGACTTCATATTCTCATCATCAGGCTGTATTTTTTTTTCCTTTAAAATCAAAACTTGAAGATGAAATAAATGTGTTGTAGACTGAAAGATGTTTTTTTTTAAGAATGTGTTATTTATTAATGGTTATATAATATTGAAACATGCAAGTCGTAACGCTAAAGTTGAAATATTTGAAGTGAGAATTTTTTATATGAATTTTGTAATTTGATAAATCCACGAATTCTTCTGTTGTGTTTTCCTGGTAATGTGACATGAACTAAGTACATAGTTCAATTAATAGAGTGATATGTCTTAGTAGTTTTTTTTCCAGAATTTCATACTTATAAAGAGATAGGAATTTCGTACTGCAGATCAATTGTTTGTTTTTTTTATAAATATGCTGCCTAATATATGTTTATAAAAAAACAATTATTAATATATAGGGTGTTTCATTATGACAGATCAAAGTCAGCAGTAAATAAATCAGGGTTATTGGTGAAAATTTATTTATTTCTCTATTGGATCATGTTATTTAAGTTATGGCAATTATGCGTGAAAAATAATATCACCCAAATATCCACAAAGTCTTTGATGGCACACCTTGACTTGATGGTCAAAATTTCTGATGACATCTCTGCATAGTTGTTCCTCAATCTCACCAATATGCCTTATCTCATCCTTCAGCTTTTGAATTGTTGTTGCCTTGTTGACATAGACCTTACTTTTGAGATAAACCTAAAGGAAGAAATCTAAAGGTGTCAAGTCGCGTGATCGTGATGGCCAATTGACTTTGCTGTTTCGAGAGATGATGTGATCTGGGAAGTGATGATGTGATCTATTTCGTAATAGACTTCGCTAACTTTAACACATTTGATTGTTAATATTTCTATGGTTTAAAGTGCCAAAGACTTAAGTTGTTAAATCTGAAAGAAAAACATCATTAGACACTTAAACTTAATTCATATTTAAAATTGGTCCAAGTTATTGGAACACCGTTTTTATATATATATATATATATATATAATGTGTGATTAAATCCAATGGATTTTTAATTTATTTGTTTAAACGTTATTTTTAAATGAATATTCATATTTGGGTAGGTGAGCTATTTTTATTTATACAGTATATTTATTGATTTACATCCTACTTGTTAGGATGCATATTTTTCTAACAAGATTTCTTGATATTCAGGCCAGTAGATGTAAATAAATAAATATTCTCTTTAATAAATAAATAAAAACAGATCATCTACTCAAATATGAGTATCCATTTCAAAAAATGACATTTAAATAAATTATATATACATATAACAATTTCTAAAAAAATTAATGGAATTTATTTTTCATCTAACATTATTATTACTTCAACTGTTATTTTTAATGACTACCCATATTTGAAATAGGCACACTGTTTTTTATTTATAAAGCTATAACCTACTGAAGTCAAACCGCATGAGTGTGATGTTTATAGCTTTTATATTTTCTCATTAATAAATTATTAATAGCTTTATCAACGGAGTTTCTTCTTTTAGCGAGAGAATTTGCATGTATGTGTGTGTGTGTATATATATATATATGTGTGTATGTGTGTATATATATGTATCTGTGTGTGTGTACAATAGAAATTAATAGAAATTATTAGGAGGATTTGAAATAATCATAATTAAGTAATTCATCGAGTCTAGAAGAATCCTCAACAGAATGCAGAAAGCAGTGGGCGGCCATTTTGTCCTATATTTGCAACTCATCAGTAGTACACATCCACTACCAAGAATTGAACCCAAACCGTTATGATATGACACAAGCATCATACGAACTATACCAATGGGCCTCGGTGAAGAGGAGGTTACTAATTAGACTCAATATAGCACTGCTCTTCACAAATTCTGTAATGTAATTCATTAAAGTTTCCCTATCCCAATGGACTCTGCTCCCATGAGCCATACCTTCTATCCCAAAGCTGCTCCATCCAGAGCATTAGAAGCCGGTTCAAGTATACATGTTTGTGTGAGTATGTATTATTGCCTTTTTTCTTTTTTTTTTTTTCCACTCACCTCTTACTGGTTTTCTTTTCTGCAGCTTCCCAATCCAGACCAGGTACGACATACATTACTACACTTAGGGGCACTGAAAATCAAAGGTAAATAAACATATTACCTATCTTTTTCTTTACCAAACACAGAAAGTCTTTGATGAACAAATATATGCATTTACTTTTATGTTATCTGTTTTACTGATCAAAGCTTTTTCTTATTTTAACTTTTAATTAAGTACACCTGCCTGCTGTGTCTTTTTCTGTTGTTGTCAACATGACTGACAATGGGACAGGATGTAAGGAGCTTTTTCTCTAGGCTCTATGCATGAAATTATGAACAGTTAGGGTTCAAAACCTGTTAAAATTATGTAATTTGCATGTTGGGCTTGTCCTTTTGCTAACAACCATACATTCTCTTTTTTGACAATTGATGATTAGTCCTTTCTTCTCGCTTTCCTTTACTAACTTCTTTAGAGGTTCCTGTATTTTCCTTTCAGGGTCTGCTATTAACACTGTGTCATCTGCATATCTTACATTATGGCTGTCAATAATGAATCCTGGTAGGACCTAATTCTCTCAGAATCACCTCAATGTATAGGTTGAACATGTCTGGTGAGAAGACACATCCTTGTCTTACACCCCTTTAGCATTAGAATATAGAAAAATAAAACTAATATCCTTATGTATGTTAATGTTTTAATAAACCTTCATTTGGTCATTTTTAAGTATATTTTTGTTTTTCTTTCTAAAATATTATTTTCTAAACTTTCTATATAAGTCTTATATATGAAAAAAGTCTATTTGAACCTATAGGAATTAAATTCTGTATATATTTTTCAACCAATGAAATCCCATCAGAAGTTTTGTTTGATAAACAATAATTACTACATCAAGTATGGGCACATGGCCGAGTGGTTAGAATGTTCACATTCTGACCATGAGACCCAGGTTCAAGTCTCACCATGGTTGATTTGTCAGGAAGGAGACTTCCTGATGTTATTGACTGGAGGGGTCGATCTCAGCATACAGCATCTTTGGAAAGTGCCTGAAAACCATACCATAGGTTGACACAAGCCTTGTGAGTGTAATTGGGGAGACAGAACCCTTGGGGGCTGTTGATAGCTGTGCTAGCACCAAGTCAGAATCATTGTGATGAGGGCTTGAGTGTGCTGGCCTTATTCAAATTGTTGACCACGCTCTTTCCCAGAAACTGTAACTAAGTTCTGCTCAGTGTAGTTGCCGTATAAGTCATAAGTGGGCTCTGTGAGTATTGAATAAATACAAATGAACCTGAGCAAGGGTCTGCAATAGAGATTGGCTATCCGCCCTAGTAGATGGGTATCTTTGAATACTAGGTGGACATAATTGTAGACATATCATGTGTTATTTATGGACCATTTAGAAAATAACAATAGCTTCCTTTACCACTCCCACAAATTCGGGGGAAAAAATCCATTTTATTCAAGGTGGCTGAGGCTTTAGCTGTGCAAATTTTCACATCCTTTTCAGTAGAATTTATTTCACTTCTGATGTATGTAAAATATTTGACAGATTTTAATGAATGTAATCTGGAAATCTGATCTACCAGACAACCTCAATCGGAGATTCTTTCAAGCCACTGTAGATGTGGTGTTAATGTATATTGCCACTGCTTAGACATTAGCTGAAACCCTAGCATCCCAGCTTGATAGAACCTACATTCGGATGCTGAGAACTATACTTAACATCTCTTGGAGACAACATCCAGCTCTATGTCCCCGTCCCTAATATTTCTACAATCTTATGCGATTGCAGAATGTGCTTTGCAGGACACTGCTAGTGAGCAAAACAAGAACTTACAAGTGATCTATTGCTCTGGACACCTAGCAATGGAGAAAGACTAGTTGGTCACCCAGCAATCACCTACATTGACCAGCTATGTTATGACACAGAATGCCACCCTAATGACCTTCAGACCTTGATGCAGGACCGTGATGGTTGGCGTGATAGACTCGTGAATGTCCAAGTTAGCTGGACTAGATTTGCTATAAAGACTTATCATTTTACAGTTGAAATAGATGTAACTGTAAGTTCTATGCTAAAAATTTCTTTTATGGCAATTCTTACTTATGGAAATTTCTTTTTGCTTTCCAGTCAACTTTGATCTTTAGAAATTTAAATGCAATGTCAATCAGAAGGCATGTTTTGTATACATTATTGTATCCTTGTTTAATCTTATTAACTACCATTCTTGTATTTACAGAATTTCCTCTTTTATGGAAAAAAGCACCAGTTACAGAAGCTGAAGAAGGTGTTCGTTTGCCCCCTTTCATTGTACAGTCTGCTGGAAACTCCGACTTGTTAGAAGTAGTTGTTAAAGGTAATCCATTTCATTTATTGAATATTGTTGAGATATGTTAAAAGAACAAAATCTTTAAATCAGTCAGAATACTCTGGAACTTCTTCAAATAGTCAAGTTAAACATTAAGCTACCTACACTATGTACCTCTATTTGTTGTTGTTCCCAGGGTTGTAGCACCTGTTAGGGTCCCAGCTATGGGCAAAAAAGAGTATCTCCAAACAAAAACAAAACACGATGAAAGTATAAAAATACATTTTATGTCAAAATGACTAACAATACATTTTCTTTGTAGTTGAAGTCATGCAACTACATTCCAAATATATTTAGTTGAAGCCATAAAACTGTGTTCAAAATATTTAGATTTTGGTATTAAATAAGCCATAGAGGTTGATATGCTGCTAAACAAAATCAACTAAACCTGCACTATGAATGCATTCCCAGGAGTATAATAAATTTGGTGGGTGGGGCTTTATTTTCCTTTTTCTTTAGGGATTTTCCAACTTCTCCAAGCTTATTAAAACTGACCCATTTATTAATTTCACCCATTTAAAGGCTTACATCCATATCACATTGAAACACTAGTTCTCATATAATCACCAAGGTTAAGCAATATTGAGCCTGGTCAGTGCCTAGATGGGTGGCTGCTTGGGAATACCAGGTGCTGTAAGCTTGGATGTGCAGTTGGTGTAATGCATAATGAAACAGAATTGGAAATTAGAGAGCTGAGTTCCAATTCTGGCTGGATTCATCATATTCATTTACACACAAATACCCTTGGGACAGTTATGAATCTACCTAGCTATGTAGAGCTGACCATATGAGAGAAACATTTGAATAATTTTCTTATGTTTATTATGAATAATAATTCAACAAATTACTATTTTTTTACTTGTTTAAATAATTCAGTACAGCTTTAATAAAATCTAATTAAATAGATTATTTCAACTTATTTAGATAATTCCATGAAAGAACTTTTCAGATGCCAACAATGCTTACTATGAATGTGACAGAAAATAAGACTATAACTAGTATTGAGTTATGGGTTAATTATTAGAACTTGTATCAATCAGTATGGGTTAATAATTAGTATGTTATTATCTCAAAAAAATTCTTAAAATCTAAAAATATTTTCTGGCTTTAAATAACCTGCAAAAGGGTTGATAAGCCATAAAAACAAATCAGTCAAATCAATTTTGATATTTAAATGATTTTTGATGCCATTTTATTCCAACCCCTCTCTTATTTATTGCATATTGGGAAAAATTCAGACCTCCTGCCCCATTTATTAAGGGTACACCCTCTTTTATTAGGCACCTCCTAGGAGTATGTATTTTATAACACCTAGATTTGAAAAATAGGAAAAAGAAACATTTGTGATTAAAAATGTATCTTTTTCATTTTTTCTTTTGTATTTTTTTTACCTTTATCCAAATGGTGAAAATGCAGATGTTCGTATATCTGTGTTTCATAGACTATGCAAAGGCCTTTGACAAAGTATGCCACAAGGATCTCCTGGAACTGCTCAGCAACCTTGATATATTCGGGAAAGATATCAGAATAATCAAGAACCTATACTGGCAGCACACAGCATGTATACGCATAGGGAACGAGTTCAGTGAATATACAAAAATAGAAAGGGGCGTAAGGCAAGGATGCGTCTTCTCGCCCGACCTGTTCAACCTATACAGTGAGGCAAGTCTGAGAGAATTGGAAATCCTACCAGGATTTAGCATTGGCAGCCACAATCTTAACAACATAAGATACACAGATGACACAGTACTGATAGAAGATACAGAAAAGAAATTACAAAATCTCTTACAGAAGGTAGCAATGGAGAGTGAGAAGAAGGGACTAAGCATAAACTACAAGAAGACAGAATGCTTGATCATCGGTAAAAGAATGAGCCCGAATTGTGATTTAGAGATTGGGGACACTAGAGTCAAGCAGACATGGCAATTTAAATATCTAGGAATCATTTTGACAGAGGATAGTAAGTGCGACACTGAGATCCGTAGATGTATTGGGATGGCCAAGGACGCATTCCAAAAGCTGGGCAAAGTATTGCGAGATAGGAGGATTTCTTTAGTAATAAAGAAAAGAATACTGAGCTGTTACATGACATCTGTCCTTTACGGCAGTGAATGTTTGACAATTTCCTCAAAGATGAAGAAGAGACTTGAGGCAACAGATGTGGTTCTACAGAAGGATGCTAAGGATATCATGGACCAAGCATGTGAGCAACAATGAGGTCTTAGAGAGGATGCAAACAAGGAGGGGGCTTAAACTTAACATCAGGAAGAGGCAGCTGAAATTCCTGCAACATATAATGAGGGCCTGGAGAATCTGATACTCACGGGTCGAATAGAGAGAAAGAGAGACAAAGGAAAACAACGCATGACATACCTAGCAGTATTAAGCAAGTGGATGACAGAAAATGGTCTGGGGAAGGTGGCAAAAGGAAGGAACTTGTTGAGAGCTGCAAGGGATAGAAGGAGGTGGAGAGCCATGATTGCCTACATCCTGAAAGGACATGGCACATAGAAATAAAGAAAGATACCAGCAGGAATATTCTTAGCTTCATAAAATTTATTGAAAGGAAAAAGATGCCCAGTCTGTATAGAAATTGATGATCTGTAAAAATGTGTCCATATTTCATGTTCCTCTATTTTAGAATGTCAGTTTTAAATTACCTTAGAGTTTTTGCTTGAAAGAAACATGTTTTTCTAAAGCCCTTAGCATAAAACAAAACGTGCATGAACAAATCTTTGAGCTTTTATTTAATATTCATTGAAAATAATTCTGTGAGTTCTTTTTTTCTTTTTGTAGGCGCTACCATTGCTGGCTGTACCAGGGCACAGTTACTCCCATGTAAAGACAGTAAAATGAATGTCGCTTTATTTGACAACATAAAAATTCTTTCCAGTAAGTAAAAACACAGATTTTACATTTTAGTTTTGAAAAATACATATATTTGAAATATGAACCACATTGCATGTACTATGGACAGAGAAAACTAAGTTGTAATAGAAATTTTATTACCTCTATAAAATCTCTGTATAAACATTTTCATCAAGATATCTATTTTCTAAAGTTCCTTTTGTCAGTGTGCTAAGTCCACTGGAATTTCCTACACTAGACATAGTTACAGAGAACTGATCACGAGGAAACATTTGAATATTTTTCTGTTTGTTAATAATAATAATTTATCAAATTATTACTTTTTCAATTGTTTAAATAATACAGTACAGTTTTAATAAAATCTAATTAGATTTGAAGTTATTTAGATAATTCTATAAAAAAAATCAGTCCTGTATATCTCATTTGTAGTAATATGAAATATCAGATGACAACAATGCTTACTATGAATGCAGCAGAAAATAAGATTGTAACTAGCATTGCTGAGCCTAAAATTATAGAATTGTATAAAAAAATATTTGTTTAAATTATTTACTTTATGCCTGGTTCTAAAAAAAAAGTTATTTTTACAAGACAAAATTACATTTATATTACATTTTCTTTAAATGTAAACACTGATTCTATATCTGCTAAACACTAACAGATGTAATCAATGGCTATGTGTCCATGACCTAGGTGAGCCTTCAGTTTAGTGGACATCAGCTGCAGAGGGATAGCCTTTGCTATGTCTTTTTGCTCAAGACATGCTATGCATGAATGAATAACTAATCAGAATAATCAACATTACTTAAGCCAGCTGCAAATGACCAATAACTACTACAATGCAAAGATATTTAGCTCTTTCAATTTTAATATATACTAAAGTATATAAAACATTGAACAGGTATATTGATCTTGACTTGTATAGAAATATGTATGCTGTTGGCACACTGAATGATTTTAAAAAAGATTTTAAAAGTTGGCACATAGTTAGCAAAAGGTTGCTGACCCCTGGTTTAAGTTATTCTATATCAATTTCATTATTGTTTTTTTTTTCTCTTTTAGGTGGAACATTTATTTTCACTGTCCAGAGTGTTGCTTCTCCCAACATTCACATCAAAGCTCCAGAACCTATTCATATAAGTAAGTCACTTTCTGTGATGATTGCACATAATGCTGAAATCTGATACCCTCTTTTATTCATGCCTATTAATGTTGTGTGGCAGACATGATGAGACAGAACCTGGGACGAGCACAACTGGTTGCAACTTGTCTTGTCCCCGCCAAAAAAGAGCCCGTATTTGCTTAGCATGTAAAGCTACTGCAGTTGAAATGAGGGAGAAAAAAGCACTTACCGCTCTGCCATAATCCGTCCTCGGCCAGATAACATAAAAGAATGAGAGGGGGACTTGCATTGCATTTTTATGCAATGCATTATGGGACATGGACGCAATGAATTATGGGATCGCATGAAGACGCAAGGGATTATGGGTATATGGACAAATATAAAAGCAACTACTTTTTCCCAGTGGGGAAGTTCTTCGAGTGACGTTCACGGTTGGCGGCTAGAACAGTCTGTTCCTGTGATTTTGAGACAGAACTCAAGAAGGAACAACTTGAGGTTGGAATACCAGCTGAGAGAGCTTGAATTTACTCGCTGGTTGCTGTTTTCTTTTTATTCCCCACATGTTGAGAAAATATAAGTTAATTGTTAGTGAGGAAATAAACCCTTGTTTTCCACCCTACGACTTCTCTCTCACTGCTCTATCGTTACTTCCGTGGAAAGTGCTCAGATGAACTTCATTCCTTAGTTCCACCAGTTCTAACCTTCATGGCTAGGACCCACCATGCTACATGCAGTGTGGTGAATCAGCCTCATTCCCTCCATGTTCCATTAGTGAGAAGTAAGTTCATCTTGAGTAGCTTCTTCCTGCAAACCACTGCTCTGTAAAACCAGCTCCCAACAGGATGTTTTCCCAATCACTACAATCTTAACCAGTTCAAGTCTAGGGTTAACCATTATCTTCCCTACATAAATGCATAAACTGTGCCTCTTAGCCTGTAACCCTCTACCTCGAGTGACTCCAAGGCCTTGTACAGAGTGATCCTCACTGTTAAAAAAAAAAATAAACAATTTCCAACACATTTGCATACCCAATAACAGACAATATTACAAATATGCCAAAAAGATTCCACAATATAACACATACCATTTGGACACTGCAATGTGGTGTAATGGTTAACAAGCTTGTCTCACTAGATCTGGGCTTCTTAACGTGGAGTCCATGCATGGGTTTCAAGGGGTCTGTGAAGATCAGTTAAAAATTAACATTTATATTCGCTATACAACCCTTGTCTCAATCAACGACTTTCCATTGAAAGAAATAGCAGAAAATGCACCCTGCCACTGCTTGAAAAAACACAACCAGCTGCTACTTACAGTTTTGCCTGCTAGACATCTCTTGAAATGGATTGGCTCTTGAGTCAGTGTTTACCATTTAACTGTGTGTCATAATTCTCTGCGTGACTGCCATCTTTTGCCACTCCATAAGAACAAGTGATAATTCTCATTTCCCACCGTTTATCATAGTTTGATTATTTTCTTATATACTGGTTAGGATTAACTGGCCACAATTTCTTTCTGTCTGAAAAGTAAGATACATACAAAGTGGGGACTCGGAGATGACACAGAACACAACACTAATACCAGTTAATCAATCAGTCTGTTAATTATCTCATTAGCCTCTCACATTTCAGTATTATTTTCTCAGGGTTTGAATCCTCAGAAAATGCTCCTCATAACCTGCTTAATAAGTGAAATTTAGTTGCCTACTCAGGCTATTTTGGACTCTCAATCTGTCTTGAGTAAGGCTATCTATACAACAAATAAAACTTAAATTATCATGTAAACATTCGATGTGACTCTTGTCCACCAATTGGCCAATGATTACACATGTGTTTTGATTCTTGATCTCGCTGGTGAGCACTGAAAACTGGGAAAGGGCCCACTGCATGCTCACAAGGTAATAGGATGAAAGACAAACACTACATTGAGAAATAAGAATGCAAACCCTTTTTTCCATATTATATGTAGATGTCTTATGTAAGGCTTTGTCTACTCACCTGGGTGGGTGGGTAGGTGATACTTGGATAACTCCTCAACCATCTACAAACCCCAATGTGCAACTGGCTATACGAACAGGTAACATCACTAAAGGTAGACCAGAACTGACTCTCCAATCCCAAGTATGACTGTTAATATAGACCAGCACCCGGATATACCCTATTTCTGGTTTTGGTATCACTTGATCTCCAAAACCCCCTCATCTACTCATTTACTTCCCCATTCCCTTCTGGTCAAAGTGGATACTACTTGGAAAACTAAACTTCAAAAGGAACCTCCTGTTGGCTATCAAACAGAAACACTTGAGATTGAGATAAAACCACATCTTCCTTTTCTATGTGGGTTGCCCAGAGTATCACACTTATATTTGTGAATTCTCATTTTGTTTTCAGTTTGTACTTTGCATTTAATTATTCTAGGAAAGTCATTGATTTATGTCTTAACTAAAGGTGAATTTTGAACAGTGTTTTGACTTTATCTTACTAAAATTGACTAAATCTAATATAAATCTAATATATTTTTCTTTGTCCTCTTTTCTTTCTTTTTTTTTAATTTTTTCTTTTTCCTTTTTTTTTTCCTCCAGAACGTCCTGTTCGGACTACGTCTGAAGTTGAAGCAGCATTTGATGAAATCCAGATGATGCTTCATAAGGTGGCTGCCTCTCTTGACGACACCCTTGTTTCATAAAAAGGGTTGGGGTTCTTTTTTTTTTTTTTTTTTTTATAATAAAAGAAAAAGCAACAGAATAAAAAAAGAAATAATAGTAAATAAAAATGCAGTGCAAAGACAAAATGTCAGTTCTTTAAAATTGACTTTCCTCTAACAGCAAATTTATCAAATGTGTTTCTGGAGTATCCATTCATTCAGAAGAACTAAAAATGCAATGAAAATAAACATCTTTTTTTTTTTTTTTTTTTTTTTTTTTTTTTTTTAATATTAAGAACAAATTGATCAAATACAGAGAGCAAGCGCCACCAGGTGTTGAATTTCACTCCAAAAAAAGAAATCATGATATCCTCTCAGAATTGGTTAGCATGAAGAACCCACTGCACCAATGTTTTCTATGCAACCCATTGCACTTTCCGTTTGTCTGAAGCTGGTACTTTTTTCATTTTCTGATTTAAACAAACTTTTTTGAACAGTGAGAAGGAAACAACCAGTTTTCAATTAATCCGTGCTAAGTTTATTTTTTCTCTTTTCTAAAGAAATATTTGCTAACCAAACGAGATTCAAGTGTGTTCTTTTTTTTCTTTTTTTTTTTTTTTCTTTTTTTTTTTTGAACAACCTGCTTATATAATTGTTGAAGTCACAGTGCGGCCTGCTGCTTGGTTAACCATATGTTTCAAGTTATTTATTCTCATGTGATTATTGCAGATTTTACAAGCACACAGATGAACTGCACCACTAGACATGGAAAAACTTGTGAAAAGACTAATACAAATAATTTACATAAACAACAATTTTCAAATTTTAGGTATGCATACAAAAATTTCTGCTGTATTTTTTATTCCAAAGTTGTTTTTTTTTAATACAAGAAATTTAATGAAATTCTTTTTGTAAACCATTTTATCCAAGAATTTCAGATTTAAAAAAAAAATAACAAGAAACTGACTTTTATTTTCTATGATAAATAATTTTTGCCCCACAATGAAAAATTTTTCTTTTTCAAATGTTCAAGAAAATGATGCCAGTTTGCATATCACCTCTTTGACTCATACTTCGAAATAAAAGAAAAAGGTTTGGTTGCTGACACTTTTAGACTCTCCAATAATTCATTGAGCTAATAATTTCAACACCACTCACCGTTTTCTTTAAGCAGCAGTTCTCATCTTTGTGTAACAAAAGCAAACATTCTTGTCATAATGTGTTCAACATGAATGTGAAAGAGACAAAAAGCCTCTTTTTTTTTCTCTCTTCTATTTCATTTGCTAAAATGTTGGTGATGCCTGCATTAAAAATATTCTGCAAAATCAATTCTTTATTTATTAACAAGATTGGAATGAACTGTTCTTAGAAATCAGTGATGAATTAGAAAGTTTAATTATTGCATCTGGCTTTCTTTCTTTGAGAAGGGTCATTTGTATTCCAACTTTTGGAGGACAATTAAATCTGTTTTTGGTCTTGTAAACACATTTCAACTGAGGAAGACTGTAGAATAGAGTGGCCAAAATGTTGTGTTGGCAAAGGCAAGGACATAAAGGAGAGATTAAATTGTCTGAAAAAAAAATTGGAATACTTTCCGACTATCTGTCTCTCTCTCTTTTACACGCGCACACACACGTTTTCTTTCACACACAGACTCTATCTTTCATGCACATACTCTCTCACACACACTTCCTATTTTTGTCTCACTCTCTCATTCATTTTTTCCTCATTCTCTTTCCACACAGTCTCCTTTCTCGCTCTCTCTCTCTCTTTGTGTGCTCGGTCTCTCTCTCTCTTTGCGCACTCGCTCTCACTCATTCTCTCTTTCCACACGTACACCTCTCTCTTTCTCTCTCACACACACACACACACACACACACACACACACACACCCTTTCCACACATACATACACTCTCTCTCTCTCATTCTCTCTTTCCCTTTTTCATATTACATCCTTATTTAGACATGGCACATCTTTGCATAATTCTAAAATCTCTCCCTGACTTGATTGATGATCCTTCTTTAACCCTTTGTGATCACTTTCGTCCCCCCCCCAAAAAAAAACTCTGTTCCCCCCCCCCAAACATGTATCATTAATGGACATATTACCATTGCAGTTTATTATTGCTTATGACAAAGTGGGTGCTATTCTTTGTTCATCACCTGCTTTGGTTTTTGTAAAATTAGAAACTCTTTTTACTGAGATGATTGACAACTGTAACAGAACAAGTCCAACATTTTTCTCTATTACCACTTGTTGACATTGCAGCTGTTAATTCACTGACTTAATTACTTTGTTTCATTGTTTTTCATAGCACCCACAATGTTTGTCTGTCCGTCCAACTTATGTTGATATGTCCCTCATAAACGTCCACAAATCCATACAGGATTTTGTAGAGAAATAATGTTTTATATTAAAGAACTGAGCCCCTTTTGTATAGAGAAGCTGAATATAGCAGTCTGGCTGCTTGAAATGAAATTGCTATTGTACAGATTTCAGAAATTCTTTTAAATGCTCTTATTTTGCCAAATAAGTGAAGGAACGTTTATTTAATACTTGTAGATAAATGACGGATAGTTTTATTTATTTTATGTATTTCATTTTACTTGAGTCACGATAAAATAAATAGCCTACTTTATCTACAGAAAAGCCTAAAAATCATAGTCTTTGCCTCCAAGCACCAAATGCTTGCAAGTATTATGTATTTCATGTTACTCGAGTTACGATAAAACAAAGAACCCATTTTATCCATAGAAAGGCTTAAAATCATAGCCTTTGCCTCCCAAGCACCAAATGCTTACAACAATATTGATGTGTGTAAAAAATATGAGAGTAGATTTACCTAAACAAGTCTTTCGTGTCCAGCCTTGAGATTGGCCAGTGGTCAGTAAATGTGTGTGCTTATTTTGTTTTTTTTTATTTTTTGTTTTTAATAATGCCTAAAGTTATTTTACAGTAAATTAGGCCTCCTTCTAAAAATTCATATTGCCAAATTAATTTTTATAAAAAAAAATAACTTTTCCATGAAAAAAATTTTAACGTGTAAAAAAGTATTTTTCTGCAGTAAGTCTGTGGTCTACTCCATTTTTGACATAGCTTCCTTGAAAACTCTTTTTCTGGTTTTAAAATGATTTATAGAAGTTTATATGAAATTAGAATCCATTTGAATTGCATTGACAGATCCTAGGGATTCAATTGCAGAAAACTTTAAGGATTTTTTGAAAGCTCTTTCTATTTTCACAATTGATAAAATCTTTTCATCTTCTTTGTGGATACTTTAACATCAACATTCATCTTTATGGGAGTTTACAGCTGCCAGTCAATGGTACCCACATCCCCCTCTAAAAAATATTTCCCTGGGCCTCCAAAATTACATCCATGGAACTTATTCATTCTTTGAACCAGATTTAGAATTTTTATTAAGTATCATTCCAGTATTGCTTGTGAATGATGTTTTTATATGGGTGTGTATAGAACCAACCAATCATATTAACTGTCACTACTTCCAACCAATAGCAGTTGTTAATTTTTTTTTTTAATACAAAGCAAAAACTGTCTCATTTACTGTTTGTTCTGTACTGTTTCACATAGGCTTCAAGCTGCCATTTTTAAAACCAAGTGTTGGCACTTCCTTCTGATATTAGGTATCAATTTTATTTTCTGTTTTTTTTTTTTTTTTGTGAGGATGATAAACTAGTTGGGCTATAAGTGTTTAATAATTTATTTACCTCGGGTGTACATTTTTCTATTTAAAAAAAAAAAAAAGTTTAACCTTTCTTGACGTCATGATGTATAATTTATAAACAATTTTTGCATAAGTTAAGAAATATTTCTCAATTCAATTTTGAAGTTTTAACCCTTAAACAGTGGCAAAAAATTGTACAAACATGCACACTAAATGGGTAAAAATACGAGTAGTTTCAACTCTTATTTTCATATTAATTATATGTAAAAATGATATTTTAATTCATTTACATTATAAAAATATAGAAAAAAGGAAATAAAACAAGTGTTATTTTCTTAAGTTTAATATTTTTAACAGTGTGATATTCTTGAAGCATTCCATTAACAATGGATTGGGCATTCTTTATACTAAGATGTCACCATTTTTTGACTCCTTTCTCTTTGAGAAATATGTATGCAGGCATAGAACTGTCTTTGGTTTGTTCTTCCAGATTTAATTGCAGACAAATTCTTCAAAAAATGAATGAATATTAGTAATCTTAAGAGTTGCTAATTAGTCATTTAGTCTTGGGACCTCCACTAAAAATATGATACCTAAGGTTTAAAATAAATTTAAAAAAAAATGAAAAAAACTTTTCTCAAGCTTTTATTTTGGTTTTAATTTCAAGCTGATAGATTAAATTTAATATTCTCCATAAGCAAAATACATTGCTGTACATCAAAAACTAATTTAAATTGATTGGAAGGAGGGGTTTTTCCTTTTTTTTTTTTTTTTTGCTGAAATATCTGATTAACACCCTTTTTTTAGTCATCTTTCATTGCAATGTAATTCTCTTTCTTAAAATATCTTCCAAAAATAAAATATACTTTTCTGAAACTTTATTTGAGGAATATTAGCAGATTTAAAGTTAAAGACTCAAATAAATGATGCCTGATTGAAAAAGTTTGAACCATTAATTGGTGATATCTGCTGATTTCTGATGAAATGTCAATTGGCAAGGCTTGCTGTTTAAGGGTTAAAAACTAAAATTTTCAAGGAAATTAAAAAAAAAAAAAAACCTGCAGTGCAGAAGATGAATTTTTTTTTTTTTTTTTTACTGTGGCTAATATGTATCAGAACAGATACAAAGGAGGCCCAGGATTGCATGCAAACATGTTTGCCAACACCAGTTACATCCAAATTTTTCCTGTTAGCAGCGGGACAGCTTGGCATGTCCAGATACAGGCCTCTCTGTAACTGGTCTAGGTCTTTGTAAGATGCCTTATGCCAATAGAAGCAAGTAGGAAACCAGCAGTCAGCAATATACAGTGTCTGATGAAGTCAGTCTTGTGAGCATTTTTGTTCCT